TAAAACAAGTTTACATAATAAAAAAAGAAAAAAAAAAACTTATCTCACACTGCTTCCTAAGAAAATTTTTAGAAGTTCTCTTTAAGCACTTTCTCTCTTTACAATCACACTCAATTCTCTCCTAGAAATGTAATGAAGAAGAAATCTCTCACCTTCCCTCTCACAACCCTAGAAGAAAATTCTCTCTTCTTCAAAGCCTTCCTCTCACTCTCACACCACAATAATGCCCTAAAATCCTCTCCTTTTAATTAGGAGCTGCCTCATTTCAAAAGGAATTTGAAATTGCCTCCAATTTTCTCTCCAAAAGTCACACCTTTTAAATCCCACAAGAAATGTACATTCATTCAAGAGACATATCGCTTCATTGAAGAGCCTTCCAAAATGTCTAGATGCATTGAATCACTCCATGGGACGTTTGAATCATTTGGAGCCTTCAAAATTTGCTCAAAATTTGTCCTAAACAGCCTTAATCCATCTTATATCGTCTCTGGCGCCTCACGCGCCTCTCTACAGCAGCTGCACTATTTTCCTCTGTTTAACTCCATTTCAGCTCTGTTTCATCCTGTTTCAGATGTGTTTCGCTCCTAACAGATATACCTACAAAATAAGTGTTAAAAAACCCTTTCTTTAGAGTGTAATTTTATTTAAAAACATGTGAGAAATGAAAATTAGATTAAGCATAGAAACACATCAAAATGTGTCACGTTAGAATTTTCTTTCTTGCTCGTTTTTACTCCAAATTGCATCATTTTTTCTTCATTTTCTCCAAAAGTCCATTTCTTGTGCTTGAAACCAAAAATATGCAAAATACCTTCATTTAAAGTGTAATATCATTAAAAATCATTAAAATTGAGCATAAATATATATGAAAAGGTAGGTAATTTTTAGGCATGTCATTCACCACACACCCCGTTTTGCATTAGAGAACATATGCCCTCATATGCTCATGGTGGGCATTTATGCCCCACTTTGGCACACCACTGCGTGCTTACCATGTGACATCTCTATGTCACCATACACTTTGTCCTACATGTTTGCACTCTACTCAGGCACATTCACACACTTACATGTATGACCTACTGTGTGTCTTCATCTCATAAGCTTCTGGTTTCCTTTCTAGTCACCGCCTCCTTAGCATACTCACCTCATAAGTCACTGCCTTCTCCGCACACTGACACCCGATCCACTACCTCCTTGGCACACTCACTATGGAGTCAATGCCTCTGTGACACACTCACTTTAGAGTCACTACCTCCTCAGACTTACCCTCTCAAGTCACCGCCTCCTCAGCACACTCACTTCTGAGTCATTGCCTCCTCCGTACACTCAACCCGAGAGTCACTTCCTCCTCGATACACTCACTTCTAATTCACTGTCTCCTTGACACACTCACTTCTAATTCACTACCTCCTCAGCAAACTCACTCCCCTAAGTCACTCTACCTCGTTGGCACGCTCACCCCTCGAGTCACCACCACCTCGGCACACTCACTTCTTAGTTACTGCTTCCTCAGCACAACTTCTCTTCTGAGTCACTTCCTCCTTGGCATACTCACCTTTTTGAGTCACTCCTTCCTCAACACACTCAACTCTCAAGTCATTGCCTCCTAAGTACACTCACTATTGATTTAGTGCCTCCTCAACACACTTACCCTTCAGAGTCACTGCCTCCTCGGCACATTCACCCTTCCGAGTCATTGCCTCCTCAGCACACTCACCCTTCTGAGTCACTGCCCCCTTGGGACACTCAGCCTTCCGAGTCATAGCCTTCTCGGCACACTAACCCTTCAAATTCACTGCCTCCTCGACACACTCACCCTTTTGAGTCACCACCTCCTTGACACGCTCACCTTCTCGAGTCACTACCTCCTCGACACACTCAATATCCAAGTCACTGCACCTTTGACACACTGATTCTTGAGTCACTACTTCTACACAATTTTTTTTTTTTGTTCCTCTCCTAAAAGGACTCACTCTGCATTGAATCCCCTTCAAATTCACTGCCTCCTCGACACACTCACCCTTTTGAGTCACCACCTCCTCGACACGCTCACCCTTTCGAGTCACTACCTCCTCGACACACTCAATCTCCAAGTCACTGCACCTTCGACACACTGATTCTTGAGTCACTACTTCTACACATAATTTTTTTTTATTGTTCCTCTCCTAAAAGGACTGTCACTCTGCATTGAATTTTTTGTATCTTCATGTGCATTTTCTCGATTGCCTCTATGACAAAGCTGACTCGTTAGTTGTGTGACCCTTTTTCGGTCACATTATGTTAGCGAGTATCACCGGTGAGGGTGCCTTGGTGTGGCAATACTAGCTATTATACTGCAATCAACAAACATATATCGTGCTAAGGTTCCAAGAGGTCTAATAGGTGCCACTTAGGCTTTTCTTCCACCAGGAATTATTTTAAAAATACTAAGATTTTTATATTTTAATTATGTATGAATCATGATTTTCAAAAACTATTTTGAATTAATTGCATCCTTAACTCGGGTCATATATAAGTTCCAGTCATTAAATCTTTTATAACCTCAATTTAGTGGCACTACTTAGAATCCTTAGGATCCATAGGATGAGGCCGAAACATGGCAGCCTCATCAAGGCATACGGTAGCCTTTTTGGCTACACCCTACACACTAGATGTTGTGATTAGGGCACATACATTTGATTGTGCGTTCAGCTAAGATTAAGATGCTAAGTATTTTTTTTAAGCCTTGGCTATTTTACTTTGTTAGTTTGGTTACCCTAGCCAAATGTCATTTTGATTGTGATTTTTTGTGTGTTTATCGTGTTTGAGACATGCACAATAGTATCTTAGTGGTGGTTTTTCGCTGGGAGCCATACATGAAACACAAACACATATATTAGGGAGGAGCAAATAATGATTTCAATGCTAACTCTTTTCTGTAGGTGATGTTAAGCTCCTCCTGCTAAGCATGGCTCATATATGTTGTTTGCGATAACCAGTGCTAACATTTTTGTAGCTTGAGTACTTTTTTTTTCAATATGTATCTGTTAGAGTACTTAGAATTGAGTATGCATCAAAAACAAGGTACGAACATAGTTTATGAGGTGCATGATGCGTCAAACCTTGTAACGAGGGACCAGGAGCAACAGACTCGTATCACAAATCTTAAGTCCAAATTCTTATTCTTTTATAGAATTAAGACCAGGTGTGTTTATATGGTGTCTGACCTCCTTTCCTACTTTTCTGTTGTGTACTTGAAATTCTAGTTATGCCCTTTTATTATGTGTGGTTTGTCTGAGATTAGTCATGAAATGCAATTTAGGCTCTGCAGAACCTAAAAATTTAAATCTTTCAAAAGTTCTAATAAAATTATAAAAGTAATTAAAACTTAACATTAAAATATCCAAAGATTTTAAAACTCCACTTTTCTTTCTTGTATGATCTTCTAGTCGGTTTTAAAATGGATCTCATTGCATGAGCATAACCCAAGTCATGTTAATAGAGGCTAAACAATCTATGAATTGCTCTAGATAACTACGATGCATCTTGCTTGTCCTAAGGAGGAGTCCCCACACTCCTCCAAACAAAGTGGCCCAACATAAATTTTTATTTTCTTACCGTATGTGGTTTTGTAGAACACTTATATTCCATTTGGGGCAGCTTATTTGGTGCGGTGGTGTTTTGAAAACGCACTTGTCCTATTTAACTAAACTGCATTTTATCAGCTTATGCATTTTGAAAACGCTGAAAGCTACGTTTTCTCGCTGCACCTAGATAGGTGCAGTAGCAGCGGGCTTGACAACCCTCTGGCAGCGGTCTGGCATTTAAAAAAATAAAAAATTGTAATAGCCACTACACCTAGCTTATCAGCTTATCAGTAGATTGTTTTTAATCAGCTTATTAGCATATTATTCAATAAGCTGCAGCTGCCCCAAACAGACCCTTAGGTTGTTAGAAGGATTCCCAACATTTCAATAAGCTGCAGTTGCCCCAAACAGACCCTTAGGTTGTTAGAAGGCTTCCCAACACGAATGCGGGATAAGACCTTTTGTGAGAGCTCTCTAGCTTGATAAGCTAGGCTTATACTTTCTCTCCTGGAAGTAGAGTGGAGAGAATCACATAACTAAATTTATACACAAATATGACTATATGATTTTTTTTTTCATTTACTGAATCATCCTTACATATCGAAATCACGAAGTGAATGATTTGATTCAACGTGTCGAAGTGGTTGAATCGAGCCCATCTATTGACCTGATTGTATTCACAACCCTCAAAAGGATGGCTTAACCCACCCGTGCAAAGATAGCTATCAGAGAAGGTCATTATGACTAGTAATTACATCTTTCAATCCATTATTAAAGACAACATCTAGTACTTACGATTCGATCTTCTCATCCGAGTGCTAGAAATGGGCATCATGCACGTCCATTATTTCATTGCATTTTTCCTTTGGGTAAAAATTAATAAAATAAATGCGGAAAGGAGATGAAGGGGGCTTGATCCATATCACACACACAGTCTCTAAAATCCCTATGGGCATCATGCACGTCCATTATTTCATTGCATTTCTCCATGGGGTAAAAATTAATAAAATAAATGCGGAAAGGAGACGAAGGGGGCTTGATCCATATCACACACACTGTCTCTAAAATCCCGCAACTAGAAAAACCTCTGAAGAGCCTATGTTCTTCGATTTATTGGAGAAAATAATTTAATACATTTCTTAAGATTTTATTTTAACTCGAGTTCATCTCTCTCTTTTATTATTTCGCTGTGATACGAGATTTTTACTAAGTTACATGCACTCATCAGCAATACAAAATCCTCCATCTCAAAATATATTTACGAAATCTATATTTAGAATTCACTCAAACAAAAGCAAAAGCTCGCCTCCTTAAAACTCGTGCAAAACAAATTGACCGTGCTCCTAAATCAGATGCTATTAAAGGTTACTTTGATCCACGAGTCTAGGGTCCACGCCGAAGCGTCCCCGAAGTGCCCGGACAGTACCCGTTTCGTACTAGAAAACTTCCTCGAACCACGATCACCGTTCGATCTCCGCCACGTGTGCGTTCACGTCACCCATTCCAGCCCCCCTCCCGTCAATTTATCCAGCCCGACGGAGAAGCGATCGATCCGGCTTGGCCAACCACGCCTTCTCTAACCGCCGTCGTCGGTTCGCCGACAAGGCCCTCCAAAAAGCGTTTAGGTTCGCAAAGTAAAGCCAGTGACATAAGCTAACCCTAAGTTGATTTATTGCTTGGAGAAAAATAGGAAGTGGACGAGGAAGCGGAGCCCTCCATCCCCTTCATTTCACTCACAAGGGTTTCAGCTTTCTTTGATCTCTGTGACTCGGACTCTCCCTGTTTGGGGTATTTAGATCTGAAAAAGGTTTTTACCAATTAAAGCCCCTTAGCCGGTTTTTGGGGGGGTTGATTCGTTAGTCTACGCAAAATGGGAGTTGCTGTCTCGTGACGAGCGGAGAGGCCTTTAGAGGGAGAGGACCCTTGGTTTCGTCGAGGGCTTTAGTTGCAAATCAGTTTGCTTTCTGTTCTGAAAGGTGAGTTCGTTTTCGGGAAGCGGAAGAGATGAAGAAGGATATGGTCGGAAGGGAATTTTGGTCGGAAGACGATCGCGCGATGGCAATCGCCGTTCTGGGCATTCAAGCCTTCGATTACCTCACCAAAAGCCACCTGTCTTCCGACGGCCTCATCACTACGGTCGGCGGCGAAGCCAATCTCCAAAACAAGCTCGTCGACCTCGTCGAGGGTCCCAGTGGCGCCGTTTGGTCCTTCGCCATTTTCTGGCAGATCTCGCGGTCAAAATCTGGGGACGTCGTCCTCGGCTGGGGGGACGGGCATCTCCGTGAGCCCCGCGAAGGCGAGGTGGCGCACGAAGCCTTGCCAGCCGCCGGCCAAGCGGCACACCAGAACATGATGAAGCGCGTGTTGCAGAAACTCCATCTGGTTTACGGAGGCTCCGATGATGAGAATTATGCTCTTGGGCTTGACCGAGTTACCGATGCTGAGATGTTTTTTCTTGCTTCCATGTACTTCGCGTTTCCCCGAGGAGAGGGTGCACCTGGCCGCGTGCTGCTTTCAGGCAACCACTTATGGGCATCGGCAAATAATTACTGCGTTAGGGCATTTCTGGCGACGGCGGCTGGATTCCAGACCATCGTTCTTGTGCCGTTTGATACTGGTGTTCTAGAATTAGGTTCTGTGAATGCTATCAAGGAGAGCTTCGAAGGGTTGCAGATGATAAGATCTTTGTTCTCCCAGGGATCTACTTCTCATGGAGGGGAGAAAAAGGTTGAAAAGGTCCAAAATTCCCATTTTGGATTCTTGGGGAGATCGGAACAGTCGCCCATGATATTTGGGAAGGACTTGAATATTGGGCGACTGGAATTTTCCACTGGAAAGATTGAGGATAGACAATTGGAGATTCATCAGAGCAACAATGGCCTTGCAACCTACAGAAAGTGTCTGAGTTGGACTCAAGGGCGATGCTTTGGTTCACCTCAACACAAATTAGGCAGCGGAGCTATTATCGTGGGAGGTTCAGATCAGCACAACGGAACAAAAGATGAACGCCGGCTACAATTCCAGCCACAGAAACCGCCACCTCCACCCCCACCCACAAAGCAGATTGATTTCTCTGCTGTTGGTGGCTCTGTTGTTGCCCGGCTTGGTGTATTGGATGCAGAACTTTCTGATGCAGAGGCTTCTTGTAAGGAAGAAAAGCCCTCTATAATTGATGAACGGAGGCCAAGGAAGAGAGGCAGGAAGCCAGCAAATGGAAGGGAGGAGCCTCTCAACCATGTTGAGGCTGAGCGGCAGCGGAGGGAAAAGCTGAATCAGAGGTTCTATGCACTAAGGGCTGTAGTGCCAAACATCTCCAAAATGGATAAAGCTTCATTGCTAGGTGATGCCATTGCCTACATCACAGAACTCCAGAAGAAGGTCAAGGAGATTGATTCTGAAAAGGATCCATGTTTGATTGATCGTAAGAACTGGACTCCTGATGTTGATGTGCAAACCTCACATGAAGAGGTAATTTTAAGTGTTAGTTGCCCAATTGAAGCTCACCCTGTTTCCAGAATCTTTCAAGCATTGAAGGAGACTCGTGTTAGTGTCTTGGAGTCCAAGGTGTCTGCTGTGGATGATGACACAATCTTGCACACATTTGTTCTGAAATCTCCAGCAGGTGCTGAGCAGATGATGAAGGAGGAGCTGATGAGGGCTATTTCTCAAGAAATGAGCTTATCTTGACTGTATAATTGATCCTCTTTATGGCCTAGTTACAACTATAGAATAGAAGGAGTTGATAGTTCATATTGATGTTCTGTGTCTATATTATTTTATTTAGAATTCATGGTGTGACCATGGATGGCAACACTAATCCGTAAGAGTTTTAGAGTGTAATTGTTTCAGTGATATAAACGTTTTGTCATTTAGCTAATTATTTTTGATCGAATGCAGTATAGAACTGCCATAACTCATCAATTTCGAGCACAGAACGGGTTTTCGTGTGTATTAGTTCTCATTCCCAATTTGTGGGTATATAACTCTCCCTGAGATTAAGAAAAGCTTATTATTCCTAGGTTCTTTTTTATATAGAAAATTTCTTTAGTGTTCTCATTTAAGCGTTGTGTGTTCCTATTTGTTGCAGAAGCTATGTACAAATTTTATCTTCGATCTGGGCTGTCATGGAGGATTTTGAGGTATCACGTAAAATTTTATCAAGCTGCAATCATTTCCATCTTTGTAAATTTCAATTTCGTTGTCTTTTCCACTTTAGTAGTCACATTGCTTTGTGTTGTTTAAAACTGTTTCCTCTCTTCAGTTGGAAATACGAAGTACAGTGATCAATTTAATCCTATAACTAAGCATTCCATTAAAGTTTGAGGATAGTACTTTGGTGGAGCCGTCAACAAGATAAAGAAACTTTATTTTCATTAATGGAAATGATTGCGACAGTCAAATTGTATACTGGAAATTTTATAGAACAGAGCAATTTAACAAATCTTCTGATTGTATATCATAAATCTTCTTGTACTGTTTGCTGTGTCAAACCATGCTAACCAGAATAAATGGGGCATACTACATGACATAGCATACTGCATAAATTGTTTGTCCAAAGAAAATCTCATCCTTTTTTCTATTGTTTTTCACTACTATCGACTATTAGTGGTATCTACTTACGCCATTGTTTTAATATTTGAGGGGCTTTTTTTATGTTGTTTTATTCGCTTAATGACCCATCTGTTTATAAGAAGAATTGGTAGAATGTCTACGGTACATGATCAAATATATATAAACTGCGTGTTAAGCATACATTATTTTCTTTATTTGATGTTTCTTTACGCTAACCCTCTAATTGGTGCATGTATGTCAGTTTGCTGCTACTCATTTCGTTGCTGTGAGAAAGCTGTAGGATCCAGGACCTTTGCAAGAATATCAATCATATTCTTTTTATTAGAGACATTAGTAATAGTTTTCTTTAAAAAAATAATATCCCAAATAAATCATAATCATTCTTAGTATATTTAATTCTTTCATAAAGTTCATGGTTTTTGGTAATGTAGATGGAAACAGAGTTGTCACTTCACAGAATTTTAGGCTGTGTAAATTGAAAATCAAATAGTAATCAACTCACTTCAATTATTACATGGCATTAGGTATTTTCGTATGCATTTAAAGCTCGATGGATTAATTCTCAAGGTAAGTTCAATCTCAGCATGCAGACATACATACATAGTAGGTACGTGCATACGTAAATAATCAAATAACATGAAAAGTTTGTGGAGTCAATACTTTTTTGGTTACCTTTTCATAAGGTGGTTGGTAAATATAGATCTAAGAACTCATTAGTAGGAGGTTACTTCGTGTATGCATTTGTTTCTGTGGAAGGAGATTTCTACAGTGCTTCTTGATATGACTTGAGAATATTTGTAGATAATAGAGACCACACAATTGTACGAATGAAAAAGAAAAATAATAAAATGACATGAAAAACTTGGTGGAGAACAATGGCAGGTGGTAAATATAGACCAAAGAACTCATTAATAGGAAGATGCATGGTTGAATCCAATAAGGTTAATGCAAGTGTTTATGTGGAAGGACATTGTGATCATCGTGAGTAAACTTTTGAATACTTAGTAGGTATAAAAGTATCTGGAGGAAGAGGAAGGCCATGAAGGTATCCCAGAGAAAGAGGAGCAAAAAAAAAAAGAAGTCATTTTATTAAAAGTAACATAATATGTAGGAGAAAAAAAAAAGAAAAGGTCATCTTATGAAAAGTAACATAATATGAACGGTGTAAGAGGGAATGTATTTTGGGTAGGATAGTGAGATGATTAAAAGATTATTGATTAATGTGAAGGGGGGCATGATTGATAAAACATATGGTTGTTAAGACTCCAATTGGGTCTCCCAGTATTGGTGTAGCATTAGATCTTTTCGTTGCCTTTCAGTGCACGATGGAATAACTCCCAAGGTAAGTTCCATTATATATGGAAACAACCGACTCTCCCAGGATTGGAATCTTCAATCTAAATATTATTTAATGCTTGAATTAAATATTTCATTGTACCCTGGAGCTTAAAGAAGGAATAAGAAAAGATCCTTCTACACCTATCCCTCACCTTATTTAAGAAATTAATTTATAATGGACACACGTCAAACCACTTTGATTTTTGTGTTTTTGATAGTCTTACTTGATGTTTTGTTGTTGCTGCCCTTCTTATAGAGTATCATGAACTTTTTTTTTCTCCTCTGTATATTTAAATCTTAAGCTGTGAAATTGTTCTCAGCCTAGGAGATGATTAATTTTCATGGGGCACCAGAGGGATAACTAGTTATAGAACAGCTTTGACTTTAAGTAAGGTAGTGCATAGACAATAGATTTATGGGAAATTGTGGGATACATAAAACTTCTAAGAGAGAGATTTAGTATTATATATAATGATACTTCTTGGGCATTTACATACATAGGACAGAATTCATATATATTTACATATCTCACACCTAAACTTTCATATTTACTTGCACACAAATCTCAAATCTTTAATATCACATAAAGAATAGCACTATTACCCTATTTTAAAAGTGAAATATACATTTTTAATGTGTAGGTTTAGAGCACCAAAGTGATATGTATGTAAATATAAAAGTTTAGGTGTGAAATATGTAAATACATTAGAATTGTGTGCCAAGTATGCAAATTTCCCAATACTTTTTTCTAGAACTGGGAAAGAGGGAACCATTAATATTATTGGTATGTGGTTAGAGAATACATATTGGGAGAGGAGAAATAGTTGATGATAACCAAGGTGCATTGGTTAGAAGTTGAAGGTTAAGAGCAGTTGCAATAAGCTCTGTTGTATGCCTTGCTCTATAAATAACGGTGGATCCGATATATTGTAAAATTCTTCCCACTGCTGATGTGTGAGAGGCTTGATGTCCTTAAAGATTTGGGAAATTTATATACACACCACACAATTCTTAGATATTTACATATCAAACACCCAATGTTTACATTTATAACACTTTTGTGTTGTAAACCTATGCATTAAAAGCCGTATTTTACTTTGGAAAAGATAGTAATTGTGGTATTTTTTACACGAAGTTAAAGAATTGAGTGTTATACTTGTAAATGTGAATGTTTTGGTGTTAAACATGTAATTTCATAAGAATTATGTGGTATGTGTGTGAAAGCCCCAAAAAGATTATCGCCTAGGCGGCATAGCGCGAAAATTCTTCATAGCAAAGTTGTAATTCTGAACTTGCCAGTGCGATTTTGCAGTTTGCAACTAATTAAAACTCATGCCGGGAATTGTCGTCTTGAAAAATCCACATTTGTTTTGTATGTTGCTTCATTGAATGAAATTCGTATTGACCGTTCTATGCACGATTTTCATGCAGTAATACAGTACGTGCTAGTTTTCTTGAGCCACCAAATGTTGCGATTATTTGTTAGGTTATTTTGAGCAAATTTATGCATTTCTTTTCTTTCTTTTTTGGCTTTTCTTTTTTGTGTGTGTACGATTTTTCTTCTTTGTTTTTATTTATTTTTTGGTATGTTATTAAATAGTTTGTATTGCAAAAATGCTTTAATAAGGCATCTGATATTGCGATCTATCTTGTGATATAAAATAATATAAACACTTCTCGTAAATATGAAATCCAATAGCGTGGCCGATGCATTGATGGTCGCGAGGAGCCCATTGGGCGCCTGAGAAATTTAATTCCTGAGAAAACTGTGGCTCATTTTTTGACTTGCATGATCTGGATTTGTATGTGCATTGAGTCGTTTAAATGATCATTAATAAACACATTTTTATAAAATCAAGGGTTAGCATAATTAGGAATGAAATAAAAAAATTTCTTTATTTAATGTTAAAAGTGTTTATTAGATGGCATGCATTTGTTAATTACTTTATTCACTGAGGAAGATTATGCTAGAGTATTTGCTAAACAGGCCTTGATTATTAATGGAGTCCATAAGAAATTGATGAAGTGGACACCTGGTTAGATCCTAATAAGGAACCCCCAATTGTTCCTATGTGGTTTAAATTCCCCAATCTCCCCATACAGTACTTCCACTAAAATGTGCTCTTTATCATCAGTAGAGTACTTGGATGCCCTCTGAAAGTTGATGCTCCAACTTATAATATGGCAGGACTGCAGGAGCTAGAGTCCTTGTTGAAAGGGATATAACACTCCCAGATATTGAGAGGGTTTGGATTGGAACTGAAGATGAAGGTTTTTGGCAGATGATTGTGGTGGAGCAAAAAAATGTCTATTGTCATCATTGTAGAATGTTTGGACATAACTTGGAGAAGTGCTATAGACTTCATCCTCCTTTTAAAAAGAAGACCTCAATGGACAAGGCTGCTGCTTCTAGGCAATTAGAGGCAGCAGAACAAGAAGGGGCAAAATGGTCTGGTGATGTAGCTTTAGAATCAGAATCTAATGCCACTCACATGATGATGGACCTGCCTAATATTACAGTTGTAGCTCAGATGGAAAATAATGTAAATGACATTTCTACTGAAAAAAATTTGATGGAGAATATACCAGCTGACAGCCTATTGGATATTAATCCACATAAGATTGATGATCCTACACTCAACATTCTAACAGATGTGTTAACTGATGAATTGCAGGATCAGAAAAGCAATAGGAAAATGAAAAGCAGGTTGGAAGTTAAACAGCCTTTGGATAGGCCTTCCATTGTTCATGTGGAACACCATCCTAGGACTAGGGGGAAGGGGAGAACCTTTTCACAATGATTATGCTCTTATGTTGGAATATTAGGTGTATTGCTCACCCCTCTTCTCTTAAGAGATTAATACAACTTGTTAGAATTTTAGAAAACTTGTTAGAATTCATAAAGTTTGGTGTTTTGCTATTTTGGAACCTATGGTCACAAAGCATTCCCATAAAATTCTCAAAAAAATTCCTAAATTCACACATTTTGCTAATTCTAATAACCAGATTTGGAACTTTGCTAGAGCTGAAATTCAAGGGTCTGTACTACAAAATCACTCTCAATTCATCCATATTCAATTCTCTATTGGAGTTCAAGTTGGATATGCCACTTTTATCTATGCTAGAAGCACTGTAAACAATAAATAATCAGACTACTTTATGGTCTGATTTAATACAAATTGGTCAGTATGTTAACTCCTTCTAGATTTTGGAGGGGATTTTAATTGTGCTACCTCTCCTGTTGAGAGAAGAGGTGGTAGACCCCCTTTATTATCGGCCATGAATAGATTTAATGATTTTCTAACTAATGCTGCCTTATTTGATTTGGGTTACCAAGGTCCAAAGTGCACTTGGAGGAGGGGTTCAATGTGGGAAAGGTTGGATAGAATGTTTGGGAATTCTATGTGGCTTCAGACTTTCTCTTTCACTATTATTTCTCATCTTGCCATGGTTGGCTCTGACCGCATGTCTTTTATTTGTTCTATTCAAAATGATGAATGTCCCAAAAGCCCTCCTTTCAGATTTTAGAATACGTGGTCTCTTCATCCTGAGTTTCTTGGGGAGATTGCAAAGGTGTGGAGCTCTGATGGTGCTGTTAATCCCTGGATCAATCTGTGG